GACGGATAGAGATTTAATTTATAATGTTCACATGACAATTATAAATAATAATTTTCAAAAAATATGCATATTTTTGTTTTATTAAAATTAAAGTATTTTTTTACAAAGAATTAAAGATTTTAATACAAGTTGTTATTATTACAGTATATTAATACGACTTCAAATCTCGTAATTTCTAAATTTTCTATACAATTCATCCTGATTATTTCCTTTTCCGTAAAGTGGTATAGTCGCAGTACTGGATGATCCAATTGTGGTAGTGGTGTTAGGTGAAGAATTTTGAGTGGTAATTTGAAGTTGTTGTTTCGGTTGTTTCCAGTGAACGGCCTGATTTGCAAAGAAATGACGGTTATACGTATGTGAGGCAAGACTGTAATAAAAAGAAAAGTGTGAATAACATAATACAGTACATGTCCTTTTTTAACAACTATCTCCCTCCACGTCTTGTATGGAATTCTGATCGATCCAGTCAACCATCGATCATATTGTGTTCGTTCGGTTTGGTCACAGAGAATTCTGTAGGCTGTCGTGAGCTGGTGGAATTTTGTTTCAGCTTTTTGCGCAGGAGTGAATATGTCGGGAGATTTGTGAGCAGAAAGACGTGCGGAGGTGAAATGCACAAGAAAGATATAAATAGGCAAACCTTCTTTCTTGTCTTCAGGGCTCTGAAATTTATCAGGATGACAACCTAAAACCAGCTTTTTATATTCTGTAGAAATCTGATCCGACTAAGAAAAAATAAGTTTCAGAATTGCATTCAAAGACTCCCCCATGCCACTCTAAATACTAACAGTGCTAGATGGAACACATCCCAGAATACCATATAAGTTATCGTAGAATTTGTCATCGTCTATTGTAGAATCGAGGGAATCAAGGATCGATTTAAAGTCCATGTTAATTTTGCGTGATTGGGAATGTCTTATTCGATTTATTTATAAGTACTTTTTACAATTGGGGATCACAATATCATATGACGCAAATCCTATTTAATGTGGGATACGTATTAAAAAAACTATTTAAACCAAAAAATTCTTGGTAATCTAATCTTAATACAAAAGTTCAGTCTCAAAATTTACCGGTTATATATTATAACTTATCATTATTATATTATTATTTATTATTATTTATTATTATTATTTCTTTTTTTATTTTTGAAAAACAGTAAGATATGCGATACAAGTACATAGAATAGATTATTATGTGAACTTTCGATATTCGTAGCGCGTAGATAACCGATTGTGAAGACACGATGTTTATTGCGATTGCGAACAAAGAGGGATTCATCTTTATCGTTAGACGCAGCGCCTAGATCACAACGGTCATGTAATTTTTTCAGGCGATATTATCGTATTATCTAAAAAAAATTATATATATATTTTTTTGATAAATTTTCGCATACAAACGTTGACAAGAACAACTTATGAATTTTTCAGTGGATCTTTCAATTGATTAGATAAGGGAAAAAAAAAATGATCAGGTGAAATCGAACGGGTCGAATGAATTTTCACTTTCCTTTTCCGACAACGTGATATAATTTATACTGTACGTATATTTTCCCCGTCAAAAAATTGTCATGGAAACTCCAATTACGCCTTCACCATGTCCGATCAATTGGCCCACACATGCTTATATTGCTTATATTTTGTTATGTACGTACTCGAAATAAGGCTCTTGATAAATATGATAAACTGCTACTTCGTGAGATCTTTGTAGTTTTATAATTATGTCTGCCTCACAAAAATTGTAGCCTAAAAAATAAATAAATTATAAAGCATAGATGACATGTCAATTCGCATATGATCTAATAATGTAGCCAATCAGGTATTAATATTAAGAAACGTCATTTGTTTTTGTCCACCGTGACACCAATGAAAAGCCTCACTAATTTGTGAAACGGGTGCTCCTTCCATTTTTGTGGATACTCAAGTATCATATTTCATAGTGAATAAAGTATAAAAACAATCCTTTAATTTCTTTTCGTCTTACTTATTATCGGTTATATGCATATTCGAAACCATTGATTTTCGAAGAATTCAAAAGAAATAGAAGTGCTCTTCTGAACATGCAAATCCCTAAACAGCAAAATAGTACGACACCGGCTTCGAGCAATGTGCAGAAGGGCAAGGCTAAAATGACTCAGGCTAACAGTCCAATGCCGGGTCCCGTGAACGGTGGTCGCCGAAATGGTGACTCACCTTCACCACAATTACCGATGCAGGACGAGAGATTTCAACGCGTGATACGTCTTGCTAATGAACGAATAGATACATATGAAATAAAACGAAAATTGACCGATTTTTTGGGGGAACACGCGAGCACCTATTGGAATGCCATTAAAAATCTCATTTACTGCAAAATTCGTCGCCAGGATTTTGAACGAACTGTGAGACCACTTCTTGATAGTGAACATTGTAGGCTCTTGAATTTTTATCTGGATGTATTGACAATCAATGAGGCATTAATCACATTAATTCTACTTAATAGTTGAGCTTCACAACATGATGTTGTTTGCAATTCTAAACAATTGCATTTATGATGATCCGCCACCACCGCCAGACCAGCTTGCGAATCAAAGGAAACGAGGTCGTGAAGGGGATGATGATCTGAAGATGAAAAAAAGCGACGCTGCTCGGGATCCGAAGAAACGAAAAATGAAAGAACTCATTATGTCTTTACCCAAAGAGGATCGAGAAAGGATAAAGGCTAACAAGGTTGTTTATTGCTAAAGATGTTGTCTATATTATTTTTTAACATAGAAAAGTGAAGCATGCTTGCGCAAATCTGTTCTAGTTATTGATCATTTTCATATCATTCGTATCAGGGCGTTGGTCGGATTGAAAATACACAAAGCGATATATATTTACCTTTGCCACCACCTGGTCCTGAACGATTACCGATATATAACTTCGAAGAACAACAATTGAAATCACAACGTATAGTGTTTTAACGATATGATATTTGTACGAAAAATTAATTATCGAGGTATCTTGATTCAACTCTTTTTTTGTCTTCATTTACAGTCGATCCGGATAGAGTACCGACATGTCATCAAATGAAAGCGTTGCCAGATCACAGTACTTTATTCGAAATGATAAGTCAGATTGCGAATTCTCATGGCATTAAGAATGTTTCCAAAGATTGTGCGGACTTGCTTAACTACGGACTGGAAGTGAGTTTTGTGAAAACTGCAGTTATACTCTAAGGCATTTATCATTAAATTTTCCCATTACATAATTCCTTCGATAGTCCCATTTGAAGAATATTATTGGTAATTGCCTGCAGAAATCACGGTCTAATGGATCACTTAGTGGAGGTTCATTGGGGATTCGGAATGGTGAGCAAAGATATTGTCGGACACCAAACCAACAGAAAAACACGATAACGGCTCGCGATCTCGCTTTTTCCTTTGAAATGTCACCGCATATCCTTGTGCAGCCTGGTATGGCACGCGAAAGATTAACGTCTGTTGCTCTTAGAGATAACGAAGACTACGAGACGGACGAAGAGTATGACGAAGAAGATGAGGACGAAGATGAGGAAAACGTCGAAGTAGTATGACCGACCTAACTCATGAAGGCTATACGTGCAAAAAAAAAAGGAGTTTGCTCAAGGAGTAACCAATATTTCTTAGTAATTTGTGCAGAAGGATTACACATACATTAGCATAAGTTACAGAAGTTGGTATATATATATATATATATATGCATATGTATATATCATTTTTTTAGGATTACGGGGGTTTCATCTGAAAAGGAAATTAAGATGGCATTAGAGCAAGCTCCGTCCGGCCTGGGTGTCGTATTTTGTAGCCGCATTCTATGGATAGCATCGTAAATGCTAAGTTTTGGTCTCGCCGAACAACGTGACTTCTGAACAGTGAGCAGCAACTTAGGGATGCGAGTTTGGTCGATCGAATTTTTTTTTTCTTTCTTTTTTTTTTTTTTTTGGTGCGCGGATCACTCAAGTTAAGGTAAACATTTCTTTTTCCTCATCATGATTGACCGGCCAATAACTTTGATCGAAGCCAATTAATTTTTTTCCAATTAAATCTTTTTTATAGCGCAAGGCAAAAAAAATTAAATTTTTAGATTCTAAATATTTTAATGTTTTCTCCCACGAGGCGTAAATCTTGACCATTGTTTATACATAATACCTTTCAACGATTTCGCTAGTGGCAGGATCCGAGAAAACGCATAATGTGTAAATATAATAATCCTCTAGATAGACAACTAAATTTAAATGGTTATGTGAATGTAAATCTTATTTCGGCGAGTTGTTCTTTTCTGTTAATTATTTAAGGATATGATTTTATAACCAAACGTGTCACATAAGAAATTCATGTCTTCGCGATAAACTAAAATTCTATATATACAAATATATATAAATATAAAGTAACTTCGGGATTAAGGTATGTTGGTCAAAACATTGTACACTTGCACATCAAATCCAAGCGACGTAGACCGCATATCCCTTTTCAAATTCCGAACCATACATTGAAGTCGGTAACCTCCACATCATGAAATTTCTCTTTACCGTCATCTCTTCCAAAAAATTACTATGAACTTCGTCCGACCTCAACTCCAAGGCGATAATCACCACCGTCCGTTGAAGATCTTCTCTGCCACTTTCATCGCTCGTGCTTGCCGGTCGAGTCGTTTTACTGTTATCGCCGCCAACACCACCGCACAGTTTAACTAGAGTCTCAACAAACGAAACATTTATAGATTCATTAAAAATGCAGTCACTCGCGATAACATAATCCCAATGTTGTCTTATGATGTCCTTATCGATATCCTCACCCCACATCAACTCCGTCACAATTACTTTTGAATTTTGATTTCCTAGATTTCTTTTGACGTTCTTCCAAAGGTGAGGTATCATCGACGCTTGATCCGTCAATGCCATCAGTCTCACGTGTGAGGAAAGTGCAATGCCTGTCAGTCCACAACCGGATCCCAGTTCGATGACATTTGTTTTTTCAGTTGATAGACCTAACCATTCTCGGTTGGTGATCATTAGTCTTGATAGCATGATACTGGAATCCCACAGTACCGATCCTGTTGTACCCCGCGCGGAGAGGAGCGATTGACTTTGTCCGATATTCACGGTTGTCCGATCTGCGTGTGAGATAAAATCGAAAATTTAAGGAACGATACAATCTCCAATTCGCTGAAGAAAACAAGGAGAATCGGTTTTAACCATCGATTGTGACCTCGACATAATTTTTCTTCTGGGATACAACACGATTATGCTTCCATTCTAGCGGACGGCCTTCAGTGTACAAAAGAAATACTTCCTCATATGGATCGATGACTTGAACTGCTCCATGTGGGATAGAAATTGGAGACATTGCGGACTTAAATCACGGTTGTAGTTTATAGAATCGAAATAAGACGATCGTATATCAAATCAATTATTTACAATTTGAGAGAGAAATGTGTGCCGATCTTATCCTACAATTGATTACTCATGTGTAATAATTCAATCGACCCTGAAACTGAGATTGACAATTGATCATGATATATTTATTGGATAAACGATTGTTGAAGGTATGAATGCAAATATGAATGAATAATAATAAGTTTTCCCCGCAGAACATTCCTCATAGAAAATCCGTTATCCCAAGCTATTGGAAAATACCGAACAGAGACGAACATTAGGGAGTTGAAAGAAAAAAACAAAATAAAAAAAAGTTGACATTATTCTAATTTTTAATTTATTAAATTTAGAAAATGACATCCTCGTCAGTGCTTTTTAATAGATCAGCCGGTTCTTCCCCTAAAAATCATGATAAATGAATATTTTTCGAGAGGCAGCTCAAAACTTCATAATCAGGTTTCTCACCTTCATTCACGTCTTCACCTTCAGAGATCTTTCTATTTTCTTCTGCCGCCTGTTGATCCTTCTTCTTTTTGGCCTGAACTTTTTTTAATCTTTTTTAAGAAAGAAATGAAATTAGAATGAGAGCTGAATGAAACATAGGAATAGACAAATCGTGAACTTACCTGAAAAATTCTTCACGATCTTGTTCGTCCAACTCCGAGATTATGTATTTGATCGTATTTTCTATCCTAGGTATGATGACATGCTCAATTGCATTCACACGACGATTTGTTATTTTAATGACTTCATCCAAGATAACGAATGCCGTCTGAAAATCAGATAATTTCTTCGTTAACCGATTCTTCACATCATTATGAAGGGTAAAATCTCATTCCATGAAACTTTACCTGCAACGAGGCCAATTCGACCAGGGACTCAACGGCCTTAATGTAAGTTTCCTTGCATTTATGAATCTGTTGACCACCACGACCAAGACCCGTTAGCTCAAAAGCTTGAGTGCATAACAAAAAAATCAAAAATTTATTAACAAACGAAAAATGAAAGTGTATGTTAATGGGTGACCAACCATTTCCGCCTTCAAGATAACTTTCGAATGCAGGAAGCATTACTCCAGAAACATTTTCCTGTTTTGTGCGAATGCGTAATTGTGCGGTCTTGGTACTTTCTTGGACTTGATAACTATTTTAAATATCTAAACGACATAAATATGAAAATATCTTTCAAATGATTGGGTTAAGTGCACACAAACCTAATGTCGCCTGCGGTGTAGGTTACTTCGGCTAAAGAGAAGGAAGCCGTTTGCATCACCTTACCCATCTTTCGCTTGGCCTTTTGTTGAAAAAAAAAATAAGCCCCAAATTTGAGCACCGAAAAGATTATAAATGCGAGAGCACTCACTTCATCGATCTTTTGAACCACAATTCTAAAACGTTTAGTGAGGGCGTCGCTTTTACGTTTTAATAAGCTGTGACCCGTCTTTGCACCCTTTAGCCTCTGCTTCATTGTGGACAGCGCCCTAATAAAGGATTTGAGCAATTCTTAACGAGGGAACGATCATAAAATCAAAGTGCAGACTTTCTTTAATATATATACATTCGCGTAGGAAAAATGCTATATCTTGGCCCGGTTCCCGACATTTTGTCGAAAATTCAAGTAACATTCAGGCGCCATTTTTTTATTTAAACCAAATACTGCATTATTTTTGATCTGATATTGTAGATCTAAAAATTCTGTATTAAGTAACACTTAAATTGTGGCTTTATATGTTACATAATATCACTTTCTTTTTCCTCATGTCTTTTCCGCAGAAAAAACTAGTCATCTTTGTTTTTCTCCTGATTGTTCTCATTGGAGTTTGTCGCTTGTATGCTGACAATAGTGATCCAATTATACCTTCAGAATCTGGTTCGTTCGATGATCTGTTCGTTATTCTTTTCAAGTAAATGGTAAAATGTGGGTTAATCATGGGTTAACTTTTTTACTTCCAGCGCGTAAACATTACATAATTATGCTGGACAAGAATATAGATAAAGCGAATATGGATGAATTCGAAGTTTCTCTTAAAGGTCTCGGTGTGGTTATTCTTAAAACATACAGAACTGTAATGAAAGGTTGGGCAGTTGATATGCCTGAAGTATTTGTCAGTTCCTTGTTGGAAGACAAGCGTGTAGTCTCTGTAGAACCCGATCAAACTGGTAAAATTTATTGGTTTTTGCGCAGATTTATAGCTTCCTGAAAGTTTCTGACAAGTATTGTACCTTCCTACGATCAGTGTATGCCAATCAATGAACTTTACGAATAATTAAAGATTGGAGTAAAGATTTTTCTGAAATTTGAATGTGAAATAAGAAGCTTTAAGAGACCACTGAAGTTGACAAGTAAGCTTCCTAACTTAACAGTTTAAGGTCATTTAATTAAAAAAAAACATTATATTAACACAAAATAACCTTCTAAAGTTGAATGCATCGCTTTTTTAATGCACCCAAAACTTTATACTGTATTTGATTCACTATCAACCTTAGTGTGCTTAAATTATCTTATCATTTACGATATTTTTATAATCAAAAATTCATTTAAAATTTAAATAGCAGATATAGTCGATTTACACTATTCACAAATTTAAACTATAATTCTATTTGATCTAATTAATAACCGCTTCTGGACATCTACCCCGCTTAAATAATTGTACATTATTAATAGAAAAGGTCAAGAATAATTTTGTATATACAGATATACATATATATATATATATCTTAACTAAAGTATTTTAAAACAATTATTGTACTAGTTATTGAGGGATTATCAGTTTAAGAATTTTTCTTTTGAAAACTGTTAAAAGTTTAGTTGATACAGATTTAAATTAACTAAGAGTTTGTGCATTATTAAAATGATGAATTTTGTATGATACTTGTTATATGCTTTATGTTGAATATTAATCTAGAATGTTACAAAACTCATAAATAATCGTAAAAGATATCGTGTTTCATTCTTTATTTAAAATAAGAAATCAAATAGCAATGATTCTTACGTCGATTCTCCAGTTTTGAAGATCGTTTTGGATACAACTTTATCGAATTAAATTCATCTTTTAAAATTGACTCCTCCGACCTTTAATAAATATTATTTTCCAAATACTTTATTTAAGACTCCTTTGATCCCGCTTGACGTGCGCTTTACCTCGTCATCTGTTTTTAACGAGTTACGCGCGTCACCGGTAGTTACATCAAACTCTTTTGTTATAAGCTTTCTTTGTTTTATATGACGGCGCTTCTGGTTATTGTTAGAGGTTGACTAAAAAATATAAAAGAAAAGTCTATGATTTACTCTGCAAAAGCAAATTTCAACTAAATTTCATGCATTTAATGATTAAATCATACTTTGATATTGGTCGAAGTGACGGTGTCATTGTCCTCAGAAATCTTTGGCTTTTTCTTCGTTTCCTATCAAATTATTTAAAATTCGATTTAAACGTTAACTAACGATTTTCGCTAAAACAATAGTTTAATTTTAAATTTAACTCACGTCAACATCAACAGGTAAAGTTTCGGACGCGTTATCCCTCTCCGATTCGATGGCTTTACGTTTCTTTTCCTTTTTCTGTTCGATGTTTTGAATCATTTTTGCTTTCTCCACTTTCTTGATATATTCCTTATTTTCTCTACGTCCTTGAGAAATCTCTGCCTGAAGTCGCCGAACCCTTGCAGCATTTTCATATGCTTTTTAGGGTGTCCGTTAATTAGCATCAAAACAAAAACGTGCATGAAAAGACAATAGAATTTCACATTGTACCTATTTGCTCCGTCAAATGGTTCCATTTGAACTTTGGCAAATATTTAATGTTCCATAGGTCATCATGATAGTTGTTACGCCTGTTTCCACCTATTCATATTATCGGAATTTAATAATTTGTCAGAAATTTTTCAAAGCATGTATAAAATCCGTTATAAATGTAACCATCATTGACACATACCAATAGGCTGTGTGTTTAAAGTAACTGCAACCAATTTCGCAACTTTCTTATCCATAAATTCTACCCAACCTTCTGTATAATTTTTCTTTCTATTTCCACTATATTTTGCTCGTCTTTCTTTTATCTTGGGATCTGAAATTTTTCGTCATCAATAATATCTCTAAAAATTTCAAGGGATAATCGCGATCTCACCTTCGGGTACAAGATAAACTCTTCCTACCTCGCCATATTGACTCAAGAGGTGCTTGATTTTTGGAGGTTTCATAAATGGTGGAATTCTTGATAAGTATACTAGTCCAGTCTTATTTTGCGCCTTTTCAAATTCAAGCAACTCTTCTCTACTCAAGGGTTTAACGATTTTGTCATCCATCGTGGTAGACTTATATTTATTCTTTCTACATAATAGCGATAAGAGAATTGGTTGACTTGGTCTGAACACGCTTAAAAAAATATAAATTAAATTAAATTCTTCACGTGATCAAAAAAAATTTTTTTTTCTACGATTCGCACGGCAAAATATGTAGACATCTGGGGTGATGAACTTTATACATCGAATTTGCCCGAAAATCACTCGAGTGACTGGTGCGCTTTCCTCGGCGACTCGCTCTTTTGCCTCAGTAGCACCAAGCGGTGTAAGTTTTGCGTTAACAGAGGATCAACGAAATTTTCAAGAACTCGCTCGTACATTCGCACATGAAGTGATCGCGCCTAACGCGTCACATTACGACAAAACCGGCGAGTATCCGAGCGAAATCATCAAAAAAGCTTGGGAAATCGGTCTGGTCAATACGCATATTCCTCAAGAGTACGGTGGTGTCGGTCTGGGTGTATTTGAGGGAAGTTTGATAACCGAGGAAATAGCATGGGGCTGTACCGGAATTCAAACTGCTATCGAGGCGAATGGGCTTGCTGAGGCACCATTATTGGTTGCAGGAAACGCGCAACAAAATAAAAAATACTTGGGTCGTATGACCGAGGAACCGTTAATGGCTGCTTACTGCGTTACGGAACCAGGTGCTGGCTCTGATGTGGCTGGAATTGCAACCCGGGCTGAGAAGAAAGGTGACAAGTGGGTGATCAATGGGCAGAAGATGTGGATTACCAATGGCGGAAAGGCGAATTGGTATTTTTTATTGGCTAAAACTGATCCAAATGCAAAACCTGGTGATGCGTTCACTGGATTTATTGTGGACGCCGACACACCAGGAATTACTCTTGGAAGAAAGGAAATCAATTTAGGACAGAGAGCCAGCGATACGCGAGGCATTACATTTGAGGAAGTGGTGGTGCCTGAAGAAAATGTGTAAGCTTATACTACTTTCTACGCATGCATGCTTATACGACATACGATGACATATTTATTTGCAATTATGATTAGACTCGGTACACCTGGAAAAGGTTTTAAGATTGCTATGGCTGCATTCGACATAACTCGTCCGCTAATTGCATCGGCCGCAGTAGGCTTGGCTCGTCGCGCTCTTGAGGAATCGGCCAAATATGCCAGCGAAAGGAAGACAATGGGAAAAGCAATGTTTGTTATTCTTTCTACTATTAGAAAGCATCAAGCCACTACACATTTTATTAACAATTTTCCTCATATACCTATAAAGCATTAATCACCAAAGCATAGCATTTATACTGGCGGATATGGCCATAGGCATCGAGTCAGCTCGCAACTTGGTTTGGAAGGTGGCGATAATATAAAACTACCGGGAACACTTTGTATTTGAATTTGATTCGACCTAACATTATATAACGATTCTTATTAGGCTGCATGGTTACGAGATCAGGGCGAGAGAAACACGTATTACGCGTCCATCGCGAAAGCGGTACGCAAAGAATGCTACTGATGAATATAATATTGAATCTTTTTTCATTCTTTCTTTCCTACGGTTTATTTAGTTTGCGTCGGACGTTGCCGTTAATTCTGCCAACATGGCCGTTCAGGTTTTTGGCGGCAATGGATATAATACAGGTACGTTCTTCTTGATGACATTCATATTTATTAAATATGATTGCTTAAACTTTGCCCATTCATTTTTAGAATACCCTGTCGAAAAACTATACCGTGATTGTAAAATCTTCCAGATTTACGAGGGCACCTCACAGATTCAGAGATTAATCATTTCGAGACATATTGCTGAGAACGTGGCCAATTTATAAATTATCTAGCCCTCGGTGGCTTATTTATATTTAAATTTTGGTAAAGGAAATAAATAATCTTGCAACCTGGCTTACATGATGGATGTGAAAAATGACGGATACTATCGATACGATAAGAAATTATGTTCGTTATTAAAACTACTCGATCATAAAAAATCAACCTTCTATTAATTAATGAGAGATATATTATTGGGACTTTAAATTAAATGATATTTAGTGATTTAGAGTCTACTTTTTGGATATTGTTTGATTTTTGTGAAGATATCCAAATTTAATTAGCCCACAATTGACTTGTCGAGGACTCACTTGTGAAACTTACAATAGCATTAACGAACTTTTATTGGTATAAACCTATATCATAGAATAGGGTATGCTCTCTTTAAGATCTCCTTCGCAACTTCATTTTTAATGTGCTCGACTGTTTCATCGTTTGCTGGCAATTTCAACATTGGTCTGATATTTACAAAACTATATCAACCTATCGGCTGCGTTAAACAAATAACCAAATAAAAGAACATCCTTACCTGCCATCACGGAATTTCATAATATCGACTGGAAGGACAAGTCGAGATGTGCCTAAAAATATACAGTGATATATTCTTAGCAAATACTTTGACAAACACTAATGCAACATTATCAAAGAAAAATTTGTTTTTCTTACTAGTAATAAAAGCTCCTTTCCACTGATTTCCATCGAGCACATTGGGAAACCAAAACTTGAAATCTATCTCATCCCTTTCGCAAATCATTATAACTATCTTCATGATCGTGCCGATAAGCACACAATGCGAAGGTGCTGTTACCACTAGAGGTCGGCGCGTGTCGGGGTTATGCAAGACAGCAAAAAAGTTCGAACTTAAGCCCTCATAGATATTAAAAGTGTGAGAGTCAAACAGAACAATTTCATTGAATCCCGGACGCATGGATTCCACGAGGGCTTGACGATCTCTTTTTTTTTTGTGAAATGATCAAACAAATGACGTTATGGCGATTTCATTTCTTTGAAATGACACATGAAATTTGCCGACGCGATCGCATACCGAACCCATTGAGAATCTTTAATCTCTGCCATTCTTCGAGGTTCTCCGTACACTTCTATCTACATTGAACAAATGAAGTTACTTTCAGATATGTTTGATAGCAAGATTCTATAGTTCGTACCCGACATCTTGGTGAATTAGGCGCATGCAACGGTGTGACATGAACAACCATCCTAGGTCGCGATTCCTAATGTAATTCCACATGAACTGTAAGATGATATCAAGTTTTTTTATAAAAACGTAGGGCATTCTGTACCTCAAACGAGTAACAAACAATCAGCGTCACTTTTATTTCACCTATACCCTTGATATGCCAAGGTGTTTCTTCTTCAATTTCGAAATATTTTTTTAAACCTAATTTAAACAATGGGATCACCATCTCTTTTAATTTTTCGAGATCCCTGTACGGCTCCAACTCCTTTGTAACATATTCTGGTTCTTGTTCTAAAACCTCATATTCTGATACACTATTAGAAGAGTTGTCATTATGCTCCATAATTTTCAAGTTTTCAGCAGGTGGGGTGAACTTCATAAGTTTCATAGAATTACATGTGCGATTTAAATGCTCTTGGAGATCCATTATTGAAGTTCTTTTAACGGTACGCGCGCCTGTGTAAGCTCCTATAATTGCATTTTAATAAGGATCATTATCTATTTACATAGCGGTTAACAAAATGGATTCTTGATCAATACCTCGTGGAAGTGTTAGTAAGAAGTTGTTGGTACCCATTCGCATTTCAGTTATTATGTAATCGGATTCGGATAATGGTTCACCATTAAGCGAGCTTTTCCTTTCGACAACCACTGCTCTGACGAAAATTCGAGATTAAGTCCATTACAGTAATGCATAATTGAATTAAGCAACAAAGTTTATACCAGACAGTGGTTCAGATTTATTAGATTCCATTCTCTCCACAATAATAGACGTCACGATCAGTGTTTATAATCATTTTATTTTTATCACATGACTGGCGCAGCATATCAGATTATCATGCGAGCATTTTAATCGCCAAAATGAATTCTCCAAAACGTTGTTCATTTCGTTATGAAATCGAGAAATACTCGAGATCATATACCACCGCGTCCACTACCCTGTCCCAATCACCACAATGGACTAACATATCACAACCGGATATAGTTGTATCTTTAGAAAATATGTTTCCAGCAGGAGTAATAGCCGCAGGAGCGGAAGAACCCGTCTTGAAAGTCACTGTCGGTGGAAACACGCTGTTAGTACGTGTAGATTTCAAGCCCTATTATTACAAATGAGCTTACAGACATGTATTAACAGTCGAAGTTTTGTATAGGAGTGTTTAAATGTGTCTTATCGACACACTGATTCCACCAAGGCCAAAGCATTATTAAAAAGTCCTACCATTGGAATAAAATATGTTTATACAGTTGATAATCAAAACGGAATGGTGAATTTTTTTAAAAAAAAAATACTCACGTCGAACCGCCTTATATATTGTTGATGGTTTACTATTTTAAAAAATTAGATATCTCATGAAGCTCGTAAGTTCCAATTGAAATTTAAAACCGTCGACGATTTTGAATCTTGTGCTAGAATCATTGGAAGATACATCAGTTGCAAATCCATCCCAGGGAATGAATCAGTTGCTACTTCGGAAATGATCACGCAGGTCATGTCAAGCCAGGGAAATGGTTTAGATTCAAATAATGGCGAAAGTAACAACGATATAATGCAACGTTCGCATCAAAATAATAGTTTACAACAATATAATAAGCTTCCTTCCGTTTCGTCTGAGGAATTCCATGAGACCCGTCCCCAAAATGGAAACCCTCAACTTGAAAAATCACAGGCGGTTCTGATTCAGCAAAACAACTTCACCAAAGTTTTAAGCAACCAAACCAACAATTTGATTGATAGTGATTGCATCAATTCTAATCTCAATTCCAACGTTAACGTTGATGCATCCCAAAGTAGACTCGAGTCGCAGAATATTCCAAAAACTAGAATTTCAACGTATTCTGCTGACGCGACTGGGTCGGAATTCAGATCATATCATGATGATTACTCTCCATCAACACGTGTAAATAATAAAGGAAATTCCATGAATGAAAGGAATATCATTTCGTCTCCTCAACATGAAAATACGTTGGAAAGATACAAAGAACTATCTCACCCAGCACCAAAAAGTGTCACGCTTCAACCACATCTGCCGCAACGGCAACAGATCGAATTTGATGCAAGAGATCAGGCACAACAGAAAGAATCCATGAGTACATTTCAAGTGCCATTGACAAATAATCGGGGAAGTCCTAATACACCATCACAGATTCCATTACAAACGCCACCAATAAATAGTCAGAGATATCCGAATACTCCATCGCAACCATCTTTTCAAGGGTCGTCTCTTTCTGATTCTTTCTCGGAAAAAAGTCCACATCAATCTTTTACTGAAAATTCGTTTATTTCTCCCCAAGTTTCTCGGGAATCATATGTCAACAATATGTCGCAAACGCGATTGCCATTGCACTCGATGGACTCGAATACTTTGCAAATAAATCAGAAAGTACACTCGGATAGCACACAAAAAACACACCCTTACAACTTACAGGGAACTATATTGAGTAATAAAAATTTGTTGGTTGCGTCAGGAAAAGAGAACTCTCGAGATTCTTATGTACAGTACACTCATACAGATGTTAATCAGAATCATCAATCGTTGCCTCACCATCAAAACAATCAAATTCTTCGTTCTCGTGCCGGAACTTCGGAGTCTACATATAATCCTAATATCTCAATACAGAATCAAAACAGTCAAATTGCATCACGTACGGCAAACATTATCCACACAAATATTCGAAAAGATGATAGAATTTCGGATGGTACAAGTTTAAGCATCAAGCAAGAATTGCTTGATCATATAACATTTGTAGATTTCCCAGATGCACGACAAATTGACTTAACATTGGATGATGAGAAATTTGATTTTGACCTTCAACTACAATGTCCTGAACGGCAAGAATCACGACATCAACAAAACACAATAAGCTTACAGTCTCCTGCTTATTCAAATAATGGGTCCAGTTCCCTGACACCTTCGCATCATTTACAGCCCTTGCCTTCTCTTCGATCACAATCTTTTCAAGCACTCGATCGAGTCAATGCTCCACGAGCAACAAACTTAAGTCCAAAAAATAAATTTGCTCCATCAGACAGTCCACAAAATTCAATGCGAATCAAGCCATCATTTAATAACGCCTCTCGTCTGAACAAGAGCCTCTTACTTCCTAATGATGATGATGAACTTCAGGAATGGATATTCAATGTACTGGAAGATCCTGAGTTTTCTCAATTTGTATGCATCTTAATTTTTGTTAATGTTTGATGCGTTGTATTGTGCACCCCGCCTTATTATTTCCTCAACTTATTTACTAACTCCCAGGTAACAAAAGTGGAAAAGTTATGGAAGGCTAGGTTTTTGAATGACGCATAATATTATCTTTATATGCAGTTCAAAACCTTTATAAACGGGATATTTGTTTATCCTTTCATTGGTGTGGCTATGCGACTTCTCAATACTTAATTGTATCCGATTTGCTGCTTTATTGATTATTCCCAATTCTTATCTTTAATTATTAAGAATTGTTTGTAGTCTCCTATATTCAAATGTTAATTATATTAATTATTAATCTCAAACTAATGCTGCATAAAAATGCTATAAAATAGGGGATAATTTATAATCCAAATTACAACAGAATTTATAGTTAATTATTAAAACCCATTTTTTATATTATAATAAATCAATTTTTAATTATAATGGTGAGTATATCCCACCTATTAAATTTAATATTAACTTGAAAATTGAATACAGAATCAAAAAGAATTATTCCAATCTGTTTTAATATATATAGGGTAGCACAAAATTTTTTGCAAAATTTTTTTAAAAAATTAAAAATTGTATTATTATTTAATAAATATTAATTTAAAAAATATAAAAAAATTAAATATAAATCTTTTAGTATTAATAAACAATCTTAATTAAAATATTTTTTATATTAATTAATAATATTATTTAAATATTATATTTTTATTTTTTAATGTCATATTTCAAAAAATATATTATTTTTATATTATTTATCATGAAAAAAACATATAAAAACATATATAAAAACTTAAATTTTATGAAAATCAAGTTATAAAATTAATATATAATATAAAATTTTTAATTAAAAATAATTATTTAAAAAAATAATCTAATTACATTTTCAATCAATCACAAGATTTTCCATCATAACCAGTTATTACCATTTCAGAACAGAACAGAATCTCACATCTCACATACCTATCCTCATATTCACACTTCTTTCAATTTAACATGATACTTGAGGATGACATATCTTCCAAAACCACAACAGACAAGTCTATACTAAGCATATGTACATATAATGTCAGAGGTATTAACTGGATCTTGGACCAGGACAATTTGATATCAGAGATAAAAGAAAGAGAAATCAACATCCTGGGTATCAGTGAAATCAAATTGTCACTTAACAAAACATACTTTACTTTTAAAGACAATACATACTACAAATGTTATACAAGCTCAACACAAACCAATTCTAATGGAAATGAAGTAGCCTTAATACTTAAAAAAGATATCTCTAAACATGTGGGAAAAATAGACAGCTAGAACGGTTGTATTATTGTGACACACATATTCTTCAAAAAAAGCAAACTGGTCATTATTCAAATATACCTGCCTAGTAACAAAAAGGAAAGTCACATCTTTCAGCAAAAAATACTTCAATTAATCATAACAGAAACCAAAAACAAAATCAAGATTATTCTTATAGGAGATTTCAATACTACTAGCAACCCCGGCTATTGACAGACCATATAACAACAATCTCATCAATACCTGGAAGCCAGAGACAGAAATGTTTAACTTTTTCAATGACTGGGCTTTTATAGATATCTATAAAGTTTGGGAAATAGATCTCCTATCCCCAATCTGGATTGGCAGATTCACCTATAGCAGAATAGACTATATATGGATCACACCAGATATCATCTTAAACAATATATATTTTTTCATCAATAAGGACTTTGTAGACATAGTCAATAGTGACCACACTTTACTTTGCCCAAAGCTTTTTACAGCCAATCTCATCAAGTATACAAATCACATACTCTATAGGAAAAAAGAAAAAGTAATAACAATACTCTATTAAAACTCCACCGCAGATCAATGAAACAAATTTGCTAAAAAAGTGAAAAAAAGAATGCAAGCTGACAATCTCAACACCGCTATTCAAGACCTTATGGAAAAAGGCCAGACAAATCTAAACCTAAATCAAACAACAAACAGTCAGAAGGCAGATAGCTTAACAATAACAATATTGGCTAAAGAATTAACAAACTAGATAGAAAACATCTGAAAAAAATTCAAACATATTCTTATCAATTTAGTATACTCAATCCTAATAATAAAAAAGGTTAAAGGCAAAAGGCAAACATTCAAGAAAAAAGCATATTCACCAGAATTCTTAAAGTATTGCAAAGCTCTACACATTTTCAAGACTTTAAACATTGTCAAGACCTTCAAAGAGGCCAAAAATCTCCAGAAGCTTTCAAGCCTTATATATAAATTCAATAAGTTGCAATCTATAATTTGGTCTATCCAAGACTATAGCAAACAAACCAGTATAGAAGAAATCAACTGGGACACCTGGTAAAAAAAGATTAAAGAAATAGTACTAGCAGTCAGAGAAATATGCGTAAGGGAAGAGAACAAACTTAAACTTAAAGACATCAACTTGGCCTTGGTATAGTGATGCCTAGACTACAAATGTGATCAAAAAAATGATCAACTTCCTCACTGACAATTATAAATCATTAGTCAAAATTGACAGAATCATGATATTATCAAAAAAGGAGAAGAATAACCTTATACCAGATCAACTCTATAGTCCCTTCAAATACATTACAATGGAACTCTAAGAAATCAACCAACAGGTGAAAAAATATTATATCTAGGCTTTCAAAAAACAAGACTCCAATTTCCAAAGTCTCAGTAAGACATAGAAGAATCAATGTAGACCAAGACCTTACATAGATCACCAGTGGTTTGATCATCTTCTTGATTGACCTAGCATGACCAAAATAGAAGATATTCTCAAAAACCTATCAAATAACAAAGCATAAAACTCTTCAGATATTCTTATGAAGCTCTCAAAGAGCTCAAGATCCAAGGCAAGATGTTTCTGATTGGCCTATTCCATATTTTTCTCATATTAGGCATCATTTTAAAATTATAGAAACAAAACAACATCTATCCAATACCAAAAAAACAAGATTGACTGGCAAACCTCAGTAATACAAGACCAATAGTATTAATGGAAACAATGTACAAATGCCTCACAAAATTAATCACAAACAGGTTATCCACAGTATTCAAGGAAAAAAACATCCTTAGGGAATCAAACTTTGCAGGACTATTAGGAGAAAGCACACAAGAACCAATCCAACTGATCAATAACATTTGCAAAGAGACAAGAAAACAAAAGAAAGAACTCTGGATCCTGTTTCAAGACACAGCCAAGGCTTTCGATACTGTTAATCTTGACATGTTACACAGGGCTTTGAACAAACTCAAAATTCACATATTAATGTCGAACTTGCTAATTATATTGTTTCAAGAAAGAAGCTTTAAAGTTATAACAGATCAAGATCTCACAAGCACAGTATTAGCAGGAAATAACATCGACCAAGGAGATACCATCTCATCACTTTTCTGGCAAATCTTATATAATCCTTTGCTCTGCAAAATCCAAGAAAATACAAATATGGGATACACCATATAATATACCTGGAAGTCAAACATTATATCAGATCAAAGCTAAATACTTAAGCTATAAAGTGCAGCAATAGCATATATGGATAACACCACCTGGATATTTCATTTCATAGCAAGCCTGCAAGAGATCATAGATGACACCAGGAAATTCTACAAGGCAAATGATTTACAAATTAATAGTCTTAAATAGGTCTTACTAAATATAAACAACATGGAAGATTCAAAAAACAACTCCATAAAGGCTGAAATAGATCAAGCACTAGTCTGCAAAACGGAAGCCTATAAGACAAAACGATTTCTAGGAGTCTGGATTGGAAACAAGAACTCCAAAAAAGATACGATCTGTTGGATTTAATATGAAATCAATAGAATAATATTGGTATTCAAAAACAAAAGAGCAATAGACAAACAAGCCTGATATATATTCAACAGGGTCTTGGTTTCAAGAATTGAATACAAAATACAAAACTGCTACATTCCACAAAAATACTGCAAAAAGCTCACAAGGCAGTATAGAAAAATACTAAAACACAAGGCAGAAGTTTATAGTACTATTCCCAATAACATTATATACAATAAAGAAATCCTTGACCTAAAACATATATGGAACCTTTAAACAAAGTCACAAATTACTGGATTTATTAACAGTCTTAATGACAGAGAAGCTGCTAGCAAGTCAACAATAATAAGACTCAAACAGGTCCAGCTTAAAAACTGGAAACTGATTAATATCCTCTCAAAGAACATTCCAGACTCCTTTGACAGCAAAGGTAACTTTATCACCACAATTCTAAAGTTAGTCAACAAAATAGGATTTAAATTCTTCTAAAAGACAACTTTCAATGAATGAAAGGCTTCTTTACTATCAATAATGGACTAAATGATGATCACCTGCACAAAAAATCCATATAATCGCTCAAGAAAAGACAGCTCATGTATATAGATCAGCTAATTGATACTGAGCTTGAAATCCTGTTAGACTGGAATCTCATCAAGCTAATATTACCAGGCTCAAACAAAGAACATATTCTACAATGGCACAGTAGGCTCAGAGAAAGGGCCACAGATAGCAAAGGCTTCAAACTAAATGATAATTGGATAACTAGGCCTTAGAAAGAAAATAGTACAAGTTGGTTTAACAAGGTCTTTTCAAACAAAAGAATTAAAGAGTAGTGTGCATTCAAAAATAAACAAGATAAAATTCAATAGGAAAAAATACAAGCAAAAAATAATCTAGTGGATAGAACTCTCACACTCCTTCACTACAACTGTATGGCATCTGGGCCAGAGCAAACTTTCCTTAAGGCCAGTCACGAGTCTATCAATGACCCAAATGATTTCCGAACAGACTCAATACCAAAAAGCTTAAACAAAGTCCAAGTGAAGGAAAAGAGAGTTTTGGGTTGCGATCTTCTAAACAGAACATATGGCAACAATAGAACCTTAGAAATAAGAATTCCATACAATCCCTATGTACTAGAAAAACAAGTGATGGCAGCATTTAAAATGTTACTGGATCATACAGAGAGAGTTAAGTTTCAAGAGGTCACAATACTGGACTGAGACATAGACCTAATCAAAAAAACAGTTAAGTCAGAAAACTATAAAGAGGATTTCACAGAAGCCCTGCTCAATAA